GAAGGAGGGGTGTTAATGTTGCAGTTTAAAAACTGTAGTGTAAAGCAGCCTTCTGGCAAGACAATGATGGAGTGAATGATGGTGAAAGTTTTTCTTTTTCGGGCCACCCTGCCTTGGTGGGAATCGGCCAGTGTGATAATAAAAAAAAAATAATATATGAAGCCAAGGATTCTGTTAGCTTTATTGCAAACACTAATGAAATGTTGCCTTGGTTTTAGATTACTGCTTACCAGAACTCCTAAATCCTTTTCACAATCAGAAGTATTAAGATTATTGCGACCCCTGAATGAGTCACAATGTATATAATGTATATTACCTTTTCATATAATTTTATATTGCTTATATTTGCGATAATAGCTAAATCGTAAATGTATTGCTTTATATTATTATTTTGACTTAGTTACTTTTATTAGGTAGGATGTAACATTTATATAATTATTCAGTGCTCATAGTTCAAGTCTTGATTGTCTAACTACTGTAATTATCGCTCGTTGCTAGTTTCCCTGCCGGCTTCTCGGTGTTGCTGGGCAGCAGCTGTCCACGGAGCAATCACGTGATCAAGTGGGGGGGATTCACACCTCGCCTGGAGTAGTCAGTCTGGGGTATACTCTCTTAATGGTTGGATGTATTCCTGACAAGACGTGCCTAACTCCCTTGCTGGCCCTTGTTGGATGATTGTCTCTGTCGCTTTCTTGTTGTTGGTTCTGTGGAACTCTGTTCACAGAACATTACCTAAACTTAGTGATTTTCGGCGTTGTATTGAGGTTGTGTGTCTATTAGACACTCTGAGCAACTCAGGTCCTGAGCTGTAACTTCTGACCTAATTTGTACTGGTATTTGTGCACTGTCACAGTCGGGGATTTTCTTATGCTGAACTTAGATTCGGTAGTATGGGAGTTTTGTGACTTTCGTGGAGGATCTGCTGATGGTTCATACTTAGTGTCGTTATATTATATCCTTGTTCCCGATTGTGTCGCTATTGCTTGTTATATTGCTGTTCAGCTCATCAGTCGTTTTATTGCTCAAGCAAGCTGTTCTGATTGCCAGGTTGGTCAAGAAGTTAGTCGATGTGAGGACTTCGTCAGTCACTGGTTTAAGTTTAGTCGAGTCATGAGACATAGCGAACTACTTAGAGCACTTACACACATGCACACAAACTTACTTGTACATATTTGTAATATCTTATTAAATGTTAATGTACCAGACGGTACTTAAGTCATATCAATGTGATATGTGCCTTCAGCACAATACTACAGTACACGAGAGAAGTGTAGGAATTTGTATCCTATATTATATTCAACTGATTAATTTAATTTACTTTGATAATATACTCCTAGACATCATTATTAATAAACTTATTAAATTTTAATTTCTTTAGTTAGTAGCCTACCAGTTGTAATCCTGAAGCACTAATAATTCTTATTGAATTCTAATGGATAATTGGACCAGGATGCTGACTACTTGTTACGAAAACCCAGTAACAGGCTGGATGCTAGAAGGGCAGTCCTTTCTAGTATTCACTGGAGACCTCTATGCTTATTAGAAATCGCATTTTTTGTAACAAGATCTACATTATTTAGTTTATATGTGGCATGGTTATTTAACTTATACACCTTAACCCTTTCAGGGTCCAGAGGCCAAATCTCAGGGTGTACATGTTTATAGAGGGGCAACTGATATATCGGATCATTATTTAGTTGTAGCTACAGTTAGAGTAAGAGGTAGATGGGACAAGAGGAAAATGGCAGCAGCAATTAAGAGAGAGGTGAAAGTGCATAAACTAAGGGAGGAGGAAGTTTAGGTGAGATATAAGTACTATTGGCAGAAAGGTGGGCTAGTGCAAATATGAGTAGTGAGGGGGTTGAAGAGGGTTGGAATAGTTTTAAAAATGCAGTATTAGAATGTGGGGCAGAAGTTTGTGGTTATAGGAGGGTGGGTGCAGGAGGAAAGAGGAGTGATTGGTGGAATGATGAAATAAAGGGTGTGATAAAAGAGAAAAAGGTAGGTTATGAGAGGTTTTTACAAATCAGAAGTGTTATAAGAAGAGCAGAGTATATGGAGAGTAAAAGAAAGGTGAAGAGAGTGGTGAGAGAGTGCAAAAGGAGAGCAGATGATAGAGTGGGAGAGGCACTGTCAAGTAATTTTAACCCTTTGACTGTTGCAACCCCCAATCCTGAGGTGTCTCCTGGTGTCGCAAAATTAAAAAAAAAAAAATTATTTTTTCTTATGAAATGATAGAGAATCTTTTCCCGATTGTAATGACACCAAAAAAACGAAATTTGATGGAAAACTGACGGAATTATGCTCTCGCGAAGTTAGCGACCTCGGCGCTGTTTACAAATTGGGGATTTCGCCCACTTTGAGCCCTATTTTCGGCTAATTCCATTTTTCCAGTCGCCCAAACTCATAGCTATTTCTTTAGAACTCCATTTTTTCTATCGATTGAGTACAAGAAACTGCCCATTTACCGATTTCAACTACCTAATAATGTGGTCAGAAATTTGCAATTTGGCCAATTTCACGAAAACTAAAAAATATGACAATTTCAAAATAAGGTCCAGAATGAACAATGCAGACATTCCTGGCTCTAAAATAACATTTTCTTTGCTCATCAGTCATGTCTCCAGGCTCCTCTGATATTACTCTTGCTTTCTATTTTGAATTTTTATTCAAACAAAAAATAGAAGACTTATTATGCAGACTACTGCAATACTGTAATAATTGTATAAATAACATCAACCCATTCATGACTGCATATTAGAATGGCTAGTTGGACATTTATTGGACAATGGCATCATTTGTTTACTTTTGAACATTGGCAAAAATCAAACATTTCCCCTACTTTGAGCTCCATTTCTAGGTTCTTTTTATAGTAAAATCAATCAAAATCATCTCTATTTCTATAATATGTTTTCCATTCTATCAAATGAGACAAAGAAAACGAGAATACAACCATAAATACTATACGAAAATAGACCACAAAGTCGGCATTTTAATTAAAAAAAAAGGTTGGAGTTTTTTTTTTCTCATTATGCACTGGGTGCTCCAGAATTTTTTTTATATGGTGCACACTGACCACACAGACCCATTCTCTCGCATGTGGGCCTACCAGCTTTCTCCTGCTTGATTTGAAGCCGCTAGAATTTATGAGTATATATACGTCAAACACAGTACCTCGTAAGACGTATATATACGGCCGCGACAGTCAAAGGGTTAGTGAAAATAAGAAAAAAAATCTGGAGTGAGTTAAACACGTTAAGAAAACCTAGGGAACGAATGGATATGTCAGTTAAAAACAAGAGTAGGGGAGTTAATAGATGGGGAGATGGAGGTATTGGATAGATGGCGAGAATATTTTGAGGAAATTTTAAATGTCGACGAAGAAAGGGAGGCAGTAATTTCATGCATTGGCCAGGGAGGTATACCATCTTTTAGGTATAAAGAAAAGAAGGATGTGAGTGTGTGGGAGGTGCGTGAGGCATTGCGTAGAATGAAAGGGGGTAAAGCAGCTGGAACTGACGGGATCATGACAAATGTTAAAAGCAGGGGGGGATATAGTGTTAGAGTGGTTGGCATTTTTGTTTAATAAATGTATGAAAGAGGGGAAAGTACTTAGGGATTGGCAGAGAGCATGTATAGTTCCTTTATATAAAGGAAAGGGGGGCAAAAGAGATTGTAAAAATTATAGAGGAATTAGTTTACTGAGCATACCAGGAAAAGTGCACGGTAGGGTTATTATTGAAAGAATTAGAGGTAAGACAGAATGTAGGATTGCGGATGAGCAAGGAGGTTTTAGAGTGAGGATGATCCCACTAGTTCATACAATACATTTCATAATATTCCATTCATTTTAGTGCTTGCAACTGCTAAATAAGTCACCATGGCTCCAAAGAAAGCTTATAGTGCCAGCTCTTTGGTAAAGAATGTGAGAAACACGTATAATTTAAGAGAAAGTTTGCAGAAAAATTCGAAAGTGGTGGTGGTAGAGTCGTAGCAGTTGTGATAGTGGTAGAGGCTGATAGTGATGGTGGTAGAGGGTGGTAGTGGTTGGGAAGAGGAGAGTCAGAATTTGCCGGGGAGTGAGAGCTTCCTTGCCGCCAGGCATGATTAACAGAGCGTACCGAGATGGCATTCCTACAATGCATTGTGGGTGCCCCAATTTTTTGTTTACTCTGCACACTGACCACGCAGACCCATTCTCTTAGATGTAGGCCTACCAGCCTCCTCGCTCTAAATTTGAAGCCACTAGAATTTTGGCATAGATGTACAGCTTGGACCTTGGCTTCAAAGCTGTAGACCTATGAGATGGACCCTGGAAGGGTTAAGACTAGAGTTGGCTTTTTTAAGATGCATGTTCAGGGTAGCCAGGAGCCAGTCCTAGTGGAAGGTGTTGACTGATGGCCAGTAAGACCCTGCAGGTTTGAGCCTTGGAGGAGAGAAGTTCAGGTCCTATTCTCTGAAGGAGGTGTGGGAATGTTGCAGTTTGGAAGATTATTTGAATTGTGATGTCTACACACTTCTGCCAGGACAGCTATTAAATGAATGATGGTGAATGTATTTTCTTTTTCAGGTCATCCTACTTTGGTAGGAGATGGCTGATGTGTTAAAAAATAATCACTCGCTGCACCATAGTCTCCTCCTCATGCTTTCCTTCCTCTAGCTGTGATCCATCTGTCTTAACAAAGGAAGGCTTAGGCCTGCTCAGTGAGCCCTTGCTAAAGGAGGGAACAAATTATATTATCTGTGAGTGTCTGGAGTCCATTTAAGACACTGATGGTAGGCACTGAAACATCTGACAGTACTGGAGCACTATAGATGCAGAATCCCTTTAGTGGGGAAGATCAGAATGACAGCAGCAAATTCTCGTGCACTTAAATAATTTTGTTAGCCATGGTAATCCTGAGGCACAGGATGACGACATTAAACATAACCTACCTGCTAAAGTTTTAAAAATGTATAGTTTCTTTGATTTTCACTGGTTCTGCTAATGTGTGTTACAGGAGAACCTGAAGATGCTCCTCTCGCTGGAAATAACATTTATACACCAAGTGGTGGAACTCCTCTGAAAACCCCACCAAAGCGAAGATCACAGAGACAAATGGATAAAGCAGAAAGAGAAGAGGTAAGTTTTTAATAATTGACAACTAGTTGAGAAGCATTATTGTTTTCAATTACTTTAATTTTAGGTGTCTACATTGTTGCATAATTATACTTTGTTACTGGAAAATAATTTGAAAGGATATCAAAGGATAAGTTAATGATTAAGGCTGTTGGGCCAGCACAGGCATGTGCCCTCTTCTCTAAAGGTGGGTTGATGGAGAGCATCCTTACTACCAGCTCTCTGAAACACTGTCATGGGATAATGATATGCTGGTTACCTAAACACAAGTGATGAGATTAGGCTTATTAATAAGAATGTGATTACTGTTCTGTGAATAGATTGAAAGAATTCAATGTTCTGATGAAAACCAATTCACTTGTTCTCTCGCATGACTGTCTAGACCTGCAGACTATAGGGTTTGGTTGGAGAGTTCTTGATGTGAAGCCTTGTGTTCCCTTTCCTATACAGTGCTTCAGGTGGCAGAAGTTTGGTTACAGAAGACTTCTCTTAGATCTTATGTGGAATATGACTTAGAGTTTGACACCACTCACTTGGAATTGGTTTGGTGCCAAAACTGAGGATACCACAAGGCAAAGGACAGGATGTGAGGCATGCAGTAGACAGCATAAACTCTTGTTTGTTAGGGAGAAAAAGTTTGCTAATGAGGGCTTTTTACAATGTAGAAGTGATCTGCAGAAGGCAGATTAAATGGAGAAAAAAGAGGGGTTAAAAGAGTAATGAGAAAGTGCAAAAGGAATGCCAATGAAAGAACAGGTGTCTTTATCAGCAAATTTTGTTGAGAAGTTTTTTTTAATAGATTAATAAATTGAGAGAGCCTGGAGAGCATATGGACGTGGCAATAAAAACTGAAAGAGTTGGGGTCTAGAGCTGTATAGCCCTTGTGGCTTAGTGCTTCTTTTTGATTATAATAATAATGGGGGTCTAGATGAGGAGGTGGATGTACCAGAAGAATGGAGGGAATATTTTAAGCAGCTTTTAAATGTTGATAATGATAGGAAGTGCTGACCTCATGCATTTAACAGGGAGGAATAGCATCTCATAGAAGGGAAAGCCAGTGGTGGATGTGGGGAAAAGTGCATGAGGAATTGGGTAAAATGAAATGTGGTAAAGCAGCTGTGACAGATGTAATTAAGACTGAGTTATTAAAGTAAGTAGGGATATAGTTTTAGTGATTGTTGCATTTTGTTCTGTATGTGCATGAAAGTAATAAGGTACCTAAGGATTATCTGAGAGCATTTGTAATTCCTTTGTATTAGGGAAAAACAGGACAAAAGAGAGTAAGAATTATAGGGAAACAAGCCTATTTAGTTTACTGGGTAAATGCTTGGCAGAATTATTATTGAGTTAGTGGCAAGATGGAAAAATAAGGTTACAATAAAGCAAGGATGATCTAGGAAGGTTAGGGAATGTGTAGACTAGGTATTTGCACTCAACCATTTAGTGAGTAATAGATGAGGTGAGGATCCTTATGTTACACTTATAGATTTAGAGAAGGCATACATCATAAGCTGGGGTCCTACTTTATATAGCTTATGTGATTCATATTGTAACTGTGTTAAATATTATTTGTATGTAACTTATTCACTAACTGTTACGTAGTAAAAAAATTTCATTTTATAGATACACTTTTTTGTTTCACTTTTATAATAATGTTTTAAATAATTTTCCAGTAAAAGTGCATTTAGTCTAGGTTTGTAAATTCATTGATATGTATGTATGAGAGTATAGTGGTACCAACACTCTTAAATGGGTGTGAATCATGGGTTGTAAATGCTGCAGCAAGGAGGAGGCTGAAGGCAGTGGAGATGTCATGTCTAAGAGCAATGTGGGGTGTAAATATCGTGCAGAAATTTTAGTGTGGAAATTAACAGAAAGTGTGGAGTTACTAAAAGTATAATTCAGAAGGCTGAGGAGGGGTTGTTGATGTGGTTTGGTCATTTAGACAGAATGGAGCAAAATAGGATGACTTGGAGGTTGTATAAATCAGTAGGGAAGGAGGGGTAGGGGTTGTCCTAGGAAAGAATGGAAGGAGAAGATAAAAGAGGCTTTTGTGTACAAGGGGTTTGGACATACAGCAGGCATGTGTGAACATATTAGGTAGGAGTGAATGGAGACGAATGGTTTTCGGGACTTGACAAGCTGTTTGGGGTAATATTTTGTGAAGGGATTCTGGGAAACCCGTTAGCTGGACTTATGTCCTGGAAGTGTGAAGTACAATGCGTGTACCTTAAAGGAAGGGTTTAGGATATTTGCTGTTTGGAGTGACAGCTGAACTGTTGTATCTCTGCACCTCTGCAAAGACAGTGATTATGTGTGAATGATGGTGAAAGTGTTGAAAAAAAGAAATGTATGTGTAGTATATGTATTTGAATTTTTGTTTTCTAGGTAGAGAAAATTTTGGCTGAGAATCAGAAAAAATTGCAAGAGGAGAGACAACAGCTGGATGAAAACCAATTATTAACAAAAATGAAAAAAGTCTCTGTGGGCTTAATTAGTAAAGGGGTAAAGGAAGAAGAAGACCAAGAATCAGATGAGACTGCTGCTGAGGACCTAGAAGAAAAATGTACAGTGTCTGAAAATGAAAATGAAAAAGACCATCCTTCAGCACTGAAGGCAAAAAATAAAGGACGTAGCCGAGGAAGGGGCAGAGGGAAAGTTGAGGCAGAAAAGGATGATCCACAAGAGATGAAAGGCAAACAGAGAGGTAGGAAGAATATAGAAGATCCAGAACACATGGCAGCAGAAGGAAGGGGACGAGGAATTATGAAGGAGGATACAGCCATTGTTAAAGGAAGAGGAAGAGGAAGAGTTCGAACAGTTATTTGTAAGGAGGGCAACAAAGATGTGATAAAGAATATGGAAATAAAAAAAGATAAGAATAACCCACATTGTTTAGCATCAACAGGTATGACTTTCATGTTTTGTAATCAACATAGTGTAACTTCATTGTAGATACCATGAATCAAGCATTAAGTATGTATTATTTCATGTAATTATTTATTCGATTACATTTGAACCCATCTGTTATACACTTGGAGTGAGGGAAGGGTCACTGGCTTAACCGAAACTCCACCAAAAAAAAAAAAGAAATTATATCCACAGACAGTCATATAGCTTTGTATTCTTTCTCTTACGTTATTTATATGAATTAGAAATATTGTTGAGGCAAGCACCATTCCTTGTGGCATTATTCTGGTGATATTACCCCATAATAGTATTTTATCTCTTTTCACTGTCAGCATTTTCCTATCAAACTGAAAGCCTTTCATCCTTTGTAATGATTTGCTTCTCATTCCTTTTGTTTTTGAGTTTACTGTTTTGTCTTTCATGAGGAACTAGCTCTGATTAAAAGTGACTGTAGTAGAATGGGAAAAAACTTTTGAGACAGTGTTTCATTTGGAGACCAAGTTTTTTCAAGTCTATGCAAAGTACACGGTAAGCTTTGGTATATAAAGTTGGGAGAGTACGTGACAAGGAGTCGTGTGGTGCGAACTTGACTATGTCTGGTCAGGAGGGCAATGTGCACTTAGGAGTTTGTGACCCAAGGGTCTTGCCAGCTATAAATTTTCCTGGTTTTGTTGATGACATGTATGAATCACAGCCAGTTAAATTATTTTAAGTTTCTATCTTTATTCTTGAATAATCATGTTTGACCTGGGAAAATTGTTGTGGTGTAAATGCATGTTATGATGTAAAACAGACATTGTTGATGTCATTCGTGCAGCAAGCATATCTGTTTGTATCCACATGTAGACAAATTCTTTGCCATCTTATCCATGTTTTATTTCATTGCAACCTCTACAAGGAATGGTGTAGGTGCCTGCATTCTCCTTGGAATTGGCATTAACCCTCTTGGACACCATAATGTCTTTGATAGTGGTGGTGATGGTGGCACTGATGAAACTGACTCTCATGAACCTTGCAGCATTTTCAGGCACCATGGGAGTGCAGAAGATTTAAATGTGGTTACAGTTGGTGTCGATTCTTAGTGTGTTAATTGTTCTTTGTACTTTTCTCCTACAATCCTTTATGAAAGTGGAAGGAAAATGTAAACTGAAAGATCTCAGGGATTTTAAAACACTTGTCTTCCAGGAAATTAGGGCTGCAGATTCTGAGAGCCCTTAGAAAGAAACCCAACAGAACACCTCTCTTACTTCTAGTATAGAGGTGAGAACAGAAATTAATGAGATAATTTAGATTGGTGGGCTTGCAGTATGCAAGGAAATAAAGAGTTATTGTTTTCCTTCTCTGAAGTAAGCTGAATGGAAAACTTAATAGCATCGAGATCATCTCTCGAGCCAAAAGAGATCAAGTACAGTGGACCCTCAGGTAACGATGACATTGGCTGGCGATAAAATCGGATAGCGATGCGTTTTAGTGTAAAAATACAGTGGTCCCTTGCTTTTCGTAGTTCTTGGCAATCATAGATTTCGGAAATCATAGGGGTATTTTCGTATAAACATGGGCTTGCTTTTCATAGGTTGACTCGTGAGTCGTAGTTCGTCCGAGACGCGTACTCACGGCATGAGCCGGGGCGGCAGCCAGTCTGGCATTGTTTACCAGTGAGTGAAGGTCCCCTTACGTGCTCCAGCGAAATATTTCATGATATTCCATTTATTTTAGTGCTTGCAACTACTAAATAAGCTACCATTGCTCCAAAGAAAGCTCCTAGTGCCAAGCCTGTGGTAAGGAAGGTGAGAAATACGATTGAATTTAAGAAAAACATCATTGAACAATATGAAAGTGGTACAAGTGTGGCCGAACTGGCCAGGATATATAAGAAACCCTACACAACCATATGTTCCATAGTGGCCAAGAAAAGGGAAATCAAGGACGTTGTTGTTGCAAAGGGAGTAACTATGCTGACAAAAATGAGATCACCAGTACTCGAAGAGGTTGAGAAGTTATTATTGGTGTGGATAAATGAGAAAGAATTAGCAGGAGATACTCTTATGACTTTGATTATTTGTGAAAACGCTAGGCAATTGCATGAAGGTTTGGTAAAGAAATTGCCTGAAAATAGTGGTGATGTGAGTGAATTTAAGGCCAGCAAAGGTTGGTTTGAGAGATTTAAGAACCGCACTGGCATACACAGTGTGGTAAGGCATGGTGAGGCTGCCAGTTCGGACCACAAGGCGGCTGAAAAATATGTGCATGAATTCCAGGAGTACATAGAGGCTGAAGGACTGAAACCTGAACAAGTGTTCAATTGTGACAAAACAGGCCTCTTTTGGAAGAAAATGCCAAAGAGGACCTTCATTACACAGGAGGAAAAGGCAATGCCAGGACACAAGCCTATGAAAGACAGGCTGATGCTAATGTTCTGTGTTAATGCTAGTGGGGATTTCAAAGTGAAGCCATTACTAGTGTACCATTCTGAAAATTCCAGAGTGTTCACGAAGAGTAAATTGTGTGTGTTTTGGAAATCTAATAGTAAGGCATGGGTCACGAGGGAAATTTTCGTCGAGCGGTTCAATGAAGTGTTTGGCCCTAGTGTGAAGAATTACCTCCTGGAAAAGAAATTGGATCTCAAGTGCCTGCTAGTAATGGACAATGCACCTGCTCATCCTCCAAACTTGGATGACCTAATTTTCGAGGAGTTTGGGTTAATCACAGTAAAGTTCTTGCCCCTGAATACCACTCCTCTCCTCCAGCCCATGGACCAGCAGGTCATTGCAAACTTTAAAAAACTCTGTACCAAAGCAATGTTTCACAGGTGCTTGACTGTGACCACAGACACTCATTTGACCCTAAGGGAATTTTGGAGAGAACACTTCAGCATCCTCCATTGCATAAGCCTTATAGGTATGGCTTGGGAGGGAGTGACTACCAGGACTTTGAACTCTGCCTGGAGAAAATTGTGGCCAGATTGTGCCGACAAGAGGGATTTTGAAGGGTTTGGGACTGACCCTGATGAGCCTATGTCTGTTGCAAAATCAGTTGTGGCACTGGGGAGTTCCATGGGGTTGGATGTGAGTTTGGAGGATGTGGAAGAATTGGTGGAAGACCACAACGAAGAGCTCACCACTGAGGAGCTGCAAGAGCTTCAGCAGGAAGAGCAACAGATTGCAGCTCAGAATCTTGCTGCAGAGGAGGAGGAAGAGAGATGGAAGATGGTGCCTTCTTCAGAAATTAAAGAGATTTTTGCTATGTGGGGTAAGATGGAAAGATTTATAGAGAAACATCACCCTGACAAGGTTGTTGCAAGCCATGTTGGCAACATGTACAGTGACAAAGTCTTGGGCCATTTTAGGGAAGTGTTAAAGAGACGCCAGAAACAGAGCTCTCTCCACAGTTATTTTGCGAGACAGAACTCCAGTGACTCTCAAGGTGGTCCTAGTGGCATTAAGAAACAGAGAAGAGAAGCAACCCCAGAAAAGCAAATGGTACCTGAGGTGTTGCTGGAAGGAGATTCCCCTTCCAAACTATAAACAATCCACTCTCTCTCCTTCTCCAGTCTCCCATACACTAAGAAGAATCTCCAATAAAGGTAAGTGTTTTGCTGTTAATGTTTCATTCATCATTTCCCATTGTATTGTTTATGTATTACATCTATATTTCATGTAAAAAAATTTTTTTAGTACCTCTGGGTGTCAGGAACGGATTAATTGTATTTACATTATTTCTTATGGGGAAAATTGATTCGCAAATCGTAGATTTCGTTAATAGTAGCAGCTCCCGGAACGGATTAACTACGAAAAACGAGGGACCACTGTATTGGCTTGGCTAACAATGAAAAACCCGGTTAAGGACAATCATCCTGAACACGTCCGCCTGTCCATCCGGCCTGAGCATGTCTCACCTGCCTTGCCTTCAGCTAGTGTGCCATTGTTTACAAGCCACTGCAGATGGTTCCACACGTACATTCGATACATTTTGTATTATTCCATTGTTTTTAGTGCTTGTAACTTCTAAATAAGCCACCATGGGCCCCAAGAAAGCTTCTAGTGCCAGCCCTGTGGTAAAAAGGGTGAGGTGTACACTCGAATTGAAGAAAGAGATAATCGCAAAGTATGAAAGTGGAGTGTGTGTGGCTCCGAACTGGCCAACAGAAAGGCAATCAAGGAAACTGTTGTTACAAAAGGTGCAAGTATGCTTACAAAACAGAGATCGCAAATGCTCACTGATGTGGAGAGACTGTTATTGGTGTGGATCAACGACAAACAATTATCAGGAGATAGTGTTTCACAGTCAATCATACGTAAAGAGGCAAGGCAGTTGCATGCGGATCTCATTAAGAAAATGCCTGGAACTAGTCCTGATGTTAGTGATTTTAAGGCCAGCAAAGGTTGGTTTGAGAGATTTAAGAATTGTAGTGGCATACACAGTGGGATAAGGCATGGTGAGGCTGCCAGTTGTGACCAAAACGTGGCTGAAAAATCTGTGCAGGAATTCAAGGAGTACATAGACACTGAAAAATTAAAACCCCAACAAGTGTTTAATTGTGATGAAACAGGCCTGTTTTGGAAGAAAGTGCCAAACAGGACCTACATTACACAGGAGGAAAAAGCACTTCAAGATACAAGCCTATGAAAGACAGGCTAACTCTTAATGTTTTGTAGTAATGCTAGTGGGGATTGCAAAGGGAAGCCTTTGCAATCCCCAGTGCTGTCAAGAAAAACAGTGCTGTCAAGGCTAATTTGTGTGTAATGTGGAAGGCAGACAGCAAGGAATGGTCCACTTGGGACTTTTCCATGATTGTTTCTATCATGTGTTTGGCCCCACTGTGAAAAAATACCTCCTGGAAAATAAATTGGACCTCAAGGGCCTCCTGGTATTAGTGCTCCTGCTCATCCTCCAGACTTGCCAGAGCAAATTGTGGGGGAGTTGAGCTTCATCAAAGTGAAGTTTTTGACTCCTAATACCACTTCTCTCCTCGAGCCCATGAACCAGTGGGTCATTTCA